TCTACCTATTAATATTTATGGAAACTGTAAAATATAATATCTAGTATAATGCTGCTTACATCAGTGCGGATATTGTAAAAAAAATGAAACGAAATTAAATATTAATTGACATAATACATTCTAAAAAAATATGACAAATTAATATTTGTTTATACGGAAATAATGTTTTTTTTTTTCAACTTTTCAGTTTTAAAGTCCTCGATTAGTCCGGAGGAGATTTTGGTGTATTTAATTTGAAGTTTTTTTTATATTATTAGAATTATCAGGGGGATATAATTTAAAATATAGATTTTGTGAAGTAGGTAAATGTGTTACGAGTGATCGGATTTGGTTATCAATTCTACCTGAAAGCAGATTGTTAGTTGGCAAAGGGAGTTTGCTCCCTGCGGCCCGGGGACTTCATTGTAGGCCCTTTATCAAATGGATAAATTACCTCGAATTGTCGATGTAGATGTAAATTTCCATGTTACATCAAACCCGACTAAGATCGGGTATATTCAGATTAAGCGGAGGTTTAATGTACTTCACTCGTTACAGATACTTGTTTTCTATTTTCAGTTACTAAACAATTGTTCGTAATGGATTTTAGAATAGTAATTCTTAACATATTAGGAAAAACTCATGATTTACAAATATCGATTAGAATGTCGTTAGGTTGAAATTATACCCAAAAAAGGTTTATAAAAAAAATATTTGTTATTTTATGTACGTATTATTTGGTGCATTTTCCGGGAATGAAATCTATTGCGATTCACGTTTTAACTCCCGAGATTATTAGGAACGGGCTATCAATAATGAGAAATCTAAAAATAAAAGATAATTTAAGACTAACGACCGAATCATAAATATGGTTAAGTACTATTTGTGTGATTATACCGAATGGGAATTGGAAACTTCTGATTTAATGAATGATGATGTTGAAATTTCTCTATCAATTAATTAATTTAACTAAGGCCCTATTTAGCAAATACGTTACCATTCCATAAACCTATGAAATTATTAAAATCCAACAATATATTAACTCACTAGGAAACAATACGAATGAATACGCGTAATAAGATACGTACATACAAATCGTTATTGACTAAAGACGCGTTGTTATAAAATATTTGGGAATTGCACACTTTTATTACGTAAATAAAAAAAATATTATCATATTATATGTTTACATCACCTAATTGTCTTCACATTAATCTAATTAATAATATTTACATTTTATTACTTGTAATAATAAAATGTAACAATAACTAATTCACTCTACTTTTTACTTTTGATTTTTGATGACAAATGTTCAATCAAAAATCATATAATTTACGTTAGTTTTAATTACAATAATGCTTTCGGTCATTATACATTTACAGTACTTTTTAATGAATATAATATTTTTTCATGTAATAGCATACATATGAATATTAATGTAATTAGATTTTTTTACTTGTTATTAGATAATAAATGTTCGTAATTATTTACTCCGAATGCATAATATCATAGTTTTGTACACAAATACTTCCACAGTACCGATAATGAGAAGAATAAATATACAAATAATTATAAAGTATAGAAATTAGAGATATTATTACGAATATAACATTGATTATGATTTTTTTTTATCATATAATGTTTAATAAATCAAGCTTATCAGTACGTAGATTATGTCATTATTTTTTTCTGTAATTGTTACAATATTATGATCATTAAAAATAGTTATTTTAATATATAATAAATATCACTAACATTTCTAATTATATAAAAATACCCTTTGGCCCAATAATTACATTGTTACATATATTAATAAATACTGTTTGAGTATGAAGAAAACATGTAATTAATAGAAGTTTAAGTTTTTATATTTGCGAGAAGAAACGTGAGATATAGATACAGAAAATTGTTTACGTAGATTTTTATTATGGAAAAGGATAGGAACAAAAGGATTATATGAAGCACAGTGACCGCAAAGGATAAATACGAGCCGAATTGAATTACGGAGTTCTTGCGGAATTAAATAATATTTGCTTGAAATTGGTGGAAAGGAAAGAACGTAATGCAATACAAACATAAATCTCGGCGATTGCGATTTTTCCGGCATCAATTCCGACGAGTTTCGGTGGCTGCGCCGGGTTTAAACCTATCCCATACTCGCTTCACGGGCTCTCCCTCCAGACCCCATGAACCACGAGGTATTATGCACTTTTGACCCGCGAACGATTTTCCTTCCGGTTCCTTTTTGCGCGCCTTCTCTTTCAGGATTCTCCCTCCTTTGGCGTTCCGGCTTTGCGGATTTATTGCATACACATACTTTATATTTCTCATCGATTCGAACGAATAAAATATTATAAAGCCGAGCTCCGACTACTCGTGATTCATTAAATGTTGAAAATGATGGGCGGGAATCGAATTGAAACAATTTTAGTTTCATCTAGTGTTGTTGTTGTTGATGTTACCTTGTTGGTGGCGATGGCGACGATGGCGCTCTCGCGTTTATATTTATATTTTTTTTGTGCATCCTGTTCTTTTTCATTTCCTGTTCCGGTTTTTAAAAAGCATTTAGCTGCTAAAAGGTTTTTGCTTCAGCAGGCGATTTCGACGCGCTTTCCGAGCGCATTTATTAAAAAGTTTATATTAATGCGGTTCCTATTTTTCGACTTCCGTATATTTTTTTTGGACGTTGACTAATGCAAATTAAATACTTATTATTTATTGATTTCTAGCTATAACATAGTTTCATATTTTTCAAATCTAGGTCATAATTATTTAAAAACAATCAATAATATATTTATTTTAATAATTTGTTTATATTACTCAGATTTTTTTTATAAATATACATATACATTAGTTTTTACCAAAAAATTTAAAAGATAACTAGAATTATCCATTATATTATCATAGTAAAATTATTTCTTTTGTTTTTTTCAATGCAAAATACTGATTTCAAACTGGACTAATCGAGTACTTTATCTAAAAGGAATTTATATTTATTTTTAAACCCTACAGCAAATCCGGACTAATCAAAGACACTTGATATATATATTGCATATTAAACGGTTTTAAAAATTCAAATTTCTTATAATTCAATAATTAATACTGAATTTCAATTAATTAACCTATTGTCGCTATTTAAATAATAAAGAAACGAGAAACAGACCTATACTTGTTGGAACTTTTATGTAGTCTTATATAGTATACAAAAAAGATTTGTTTTGCAATTGGAAACACTAAGTGAGTATAAACATACATTCAAGTAATTCTTATCACTTCTATATAGGTTTACGTTGTTTCCAAAAAAAAATGGTATAGCAGTCCATGAAATAAGTTTATTGTTACTAAATTAATATAATTCACTTATTATACGATTTAAGGTTTAAATTGATGAATTTATCAAAATATTCCACATATATTTTTCATTGAAAATATTGCTGAAATTTAATGAAAATTTATAGTAAACTTCATTTTAATGTGTTTTAAAAGAAATACAAACAATTTTTTTTTATTTTAACTATGTTCATCTAACAAAGGGTTAAGGGTTCATACGACTAATATTATTATGTAAATATTCATTCACATATGATACGGTAGAATCTTCTAATGGAATTAGAGTTAAATTACCTACTCTAAGGATTAGATTAGGGTAGATTAGGATAAGTTATTGTTGGCGTAGGTTGTAGGTCTTCGTCGACTATATCACAATAATCGATATACACGTTCCCTGGCTTTAACCAGCATAGTTAACCAATATAACATTGAGTATAGAAAGTGTATTAACTTCTAAACCATCTATAATGTCATTAGTACAAATAAATATTTAAATTATATATTACTATACGAAATTAATTAAAAAGATAAGTTTAGTTAAGCTTAAATTATGATGAAAATAGAGGAAGATTTGTTAGATAAAGATTTAAAATGGTATGTGTTAAATAAAGAAATAATATTATGAAAAATACCAAGGATTCATATAAACTATTTACAATAGGAAGAAATATTTTTTTAGAAGTTATTGATTTAACAATGTATTATGTACAAATTATGTACTGTATTCTGATATTAAATTATTGACATATCAAAAATATGACTCTTTTGATAAATAATAACTATTTTGATGCCATATTTTTCACAGGCAAGTGGCTCTTTGTTCTAAAAAAGGTGCCGAAGACTGGCATATAAGTTAGTAGATTATGTACACTTGAATATAATTACTGATTTAATTTATTTCTTTATTTAAAAATAGTAAAGCTCTAAATGAGAATAATCAAATATTCTGAAAAATAATACTAGATAATTCACAGTATATAAATCTAGAGTTAAATGTTACCATATTTATAGACTTACATCATTAGACTTTCTTATTTTCATTATTATTATTTTACATAGATCAACTGAAAATAAAAATAGAAAATAATTATCAAAGTTTTAAGAAATAGCTCAAAAGCAATAATATTTTCTTATTAAAGATTTTTAAAACAAAATATTGATATAGGTTTGTTTGATTTATAATAGTAAAGGCATTGCGCAGCCTTGAAGCTACATGCGGCTCTTTCAATGGATAATTGCGCGATTCGTCCATGGATGCGGCACAAGCACAGCATCCATGCGCCTCATACACAACATCTATGGATCCTGTGGTTGCGCTGCATCCATGGACCAAGGATTCCCTCACTATTACTTGCCTGAATAAACGGAATATTGTCTCGAAAAATCGGAGTAAATTTGTGTTACTTCTTTAGTTTTGATTGCATTCTTTAAGATTAGATACAAACTTCTGAGACTGTATAAAGTACATTAATAAGTTCTAATAGAAATATTACTGTTAAAAATTAAAGAAACCGAAATAAAAATAATTAGCTATTAGTGGATGTAGTACATATTTATCGTATATATAGAAGCAAATATAATAATAAAATGTTATTATGTAATTCGCAGTCGGGCTTATCTCATGAAAGGCTTGATGCTGCGAACATGAGTTGTCGTTATGTTAATGACGGTCTGGTGGAAACTTGTTTCAGTTCCTCCCGATATCCTCGACTACCCGACGAGCACCGATATGGTGGTGAGGGAGGGCTCTAATGTCAGTTTACGATGTGCAGCTAGGGGATCCCCCGAGCCGACCATAGCCTGGCGCAGAGAAGGTGGCGAAGCCATCCCCCTTGGGAACGGACAGGAAGGTAAGTTCTTCCCACAGATCATCCCAATATTCGATGGAAATTTTCCGTTGTCTACCGTAACAAACGTGAAAAGAATAAGCCCGTGTAGAAAAAAAACATTGCCTTGCCGACCCTAGCAATCTAGGAGGAGGATACAAAAAAAAAACAGGTATAAATATATATATAGAGAGAAAGAGGTATAACCATTATTTTAATCCTGGATGGATGAAGCGTGCCATCGATAGGTTAGGATTATTATATAGTAGGGTGGGGTTCGTAATGCGATTTTTATTTAACAGGAATTTACGAGGATGGATACTTATCCCCTTCCTTGCCTATTTGTATTTCATGGGCTTTACATAAGTGATGCTACATATTGATTATGTAACGGCGCGTTAATATTACAAAATATTTTTATATTACCAACTAAATATTCATTGAATCATTATATTTTAATAAAGCTATGGATATTTCCCCACAATTTATATGAGATTTCAAGTGCCCCATTCTAATTAAAGCAAATTGCAAAATTAATGTTTTTGCATATTGCTGCAGTTCATCAACAGCAAGTAGTAATAAATTGGATTTCGTTATAAATTATATAATTATTATATATTTCATATGATATTTATTACACATTAGTATAAATAGAAAGAAAATTATATTTATTTTTTGATGATAATATATTAAAAGGCAAAATATAATTATTTTCATGAATTTAAATGTATATGAACGATTCGACGTATATTTTATCCAAATTACATACATTATATCTGCCAATTAGTAATTTTTAAATGTTAATGAAAAGCAACTTAGTCGAAAATAAATTATGTAATTATATAATATATTTAAAATCTGTTATGAACTTAAAAAACCGAATTTAAGTTATGCGGGTTACTAGTGCATCCCTATGTTTAAGAGTTAAAGAGTCTCGCGTATATATATGCTTAGATCACAGTGCATTTATTACAGTAGTAGAAAATTCAGATTGAATCGATTCCTCTAATTTTAGTAAGGACAATAATGTTCCAGATCCGAAAATATGCAAAACTGTTAATGGACGGTGTCATATTTCTCTTAGAAAAGATTTCAGAAGAACAAGATTCTTTTTTTCAGGAGAAAATAGCAATTATTTGTATTAAAGAAAGATCTTAAATACGATATGTCACTATATATAATGATTTTTTCTTAATGAAGGTATACCTTTTTTTCTAATTATTTTTACCTACAGTTATGTACTATACGCATGTAATTATAATGGGATACAAATGTATCCCAACGCGACATCTGACATAACAAATTCAAGGGCGTATTTTTAACGAAAAAATGCCATTTTATGTCTCAATTTATATTGTTTATTATTTTTTTTCCTAAAGTGTTTTCCTTTTTTGAGAATCAATTTGAAAATTGTCAGAAAACGCTTTTCTTATATCCTTCATACATTATAAATACTTTATATTAATAATAAAAGAAAGAAATCCTTATAATTTCACACAGCAATATCCACACTTAATTTTTGTTGAATGTTTGTTATATTAGTATAAAATTAGGTATACTTTCAATAATTACGTATTACATATGAATATTAGTAATATTACATCTCATCGATTTAACAAAAACTATAATTCCAACTATCATTTTTGTTTACAATATTAAAATTATCATAAAATCATATTACGTCTGTAAATATATTAATATCTTTTGAAAAGAAGTCACTCATTTATGCATTGAAGTACAATATTTTGATGCAAGGTATGACCATCATTTAAGTTATCCTAATAGCTCATTTAATAAAGTACGAAATATAAGATATACGATACTTTTATCATTGGAAAACTTGTTTTTCGGCGGAACCCTTAGATAAGCTTACTAGCAACGTATCAAAAGAAAATAAAAATGAAACTAGAATATTTCATTGTTACTAGCTAAATATTTATAAAGGTATTTAAATGGCATTGAAAACTGTTGTTCAATTAACTCATAATAACTTCTTAAATAGTCATTATATTTACAACTTTAAAAATTTAAAACTTAAATAATTATTATTTTTATCGTGTCAAGGAGTTATAAAAGGATAATTTACATTGTCATATAATATTGACATTTTATTGAATAAAGCTTTTAACAAATGATATGACATTATAATTCTCTAAATTTAGATCTGATGATTTCAGCCTTATAATTATGCTAGTAATAATAATGTAATCAAGACATTGAACGTCTTTGAAGCTTGCTTACCTAATCCTTTTAGATCAGTGATTCCCAAAGTGGTCTATATCGACCCCCAGGGGTCTATGACAATCTGCAAGGGGTCTATATCAGCGAAAAAAAATTTGGGGTCCATGAAATGAAAATCGGGGTCCATAATAGTGGATCTCAACATACACTGATAGTACCTATTTACTTACATTATACTATCTTATAATATAAAGACATATATATTATTTATAAAAGTGTAAGTTGTAGGATGTAGGCATTCGCTTTGTGGACGCAAAGAAAAATAAAACTGGTATTTAAACAATAAAATTGCTATCAAAAGAAAGGTATACCTTTTGATAGTCCTAAAAGGCAATTTAGGGGTATTATTTCGTATATTGAACCTTAACTATACACATGATAATGGGTTTCCTTTATACATTGTTATTTGTTTAGTGAGTCCCAAAAATATTCCCGAATTTATTTTTGTAATTAAATACGAAAAATGATGAAACAAGGACTGATGGGTGATTTATTGTCTAGAATCGAACCTGTTTTCCCATTTTATTTTAAATTACTCAATACTCACTTTTAGACCTGGCAACATTAAAACAAATGGCGCCAAATTTAAATCAGTACAAAATAGACAAAATTATATTAAGTAAATTGATTAACAGGTTTTAAAACTCAGCCACTTAACAGTTTTCTATATTAGTTTACAAACAAGACTAATAAGTAAAGTAATCTAATTTTAATTACACATTAGTGGAAAGTTCAAACTACTGCACTTATTACGGCAACGTGGCAATTATAACTTTTGAATACCTAATGGACTTCCCATAAAAATCAACGCAATCAATTTCTCGAATGTGTTAATAAATGAAATTCGGTAACTCTGCGTGGAAAATAAATAGACGAAATTAATTAAACTACGGACTGAATGAATCGACTCGAATCGAGTGCACTTTTAAACGGTCGATTAATGCGATGCGTTATAATAATTCTACAATATTTGTCCAACGGATGTGCATATAATTTGCATAAAACGCAGTTAAAAATACGATTGCGTGCGTTTTAGCATTTCGAAATATAGGAGAATATAATGAAAAAAAAAAAGAAAGATAATTGAAAAAATGTACAGCAATCAACACGAATAATTAATATTTAGCGCGAGTGTAAATAATTTATACGGAAATTTCCATTGCGATCACGGGTTTATTTAAATAATACGCATTGTTTTGGTTGATGATTGTTGATTTCTCTTTGTTTTTGATAATTGATAAAAGGGGCATTGCGCAAATAATAATCGTTTCATGGGAATGCGAGAGTTGACTTCTCGTAAATTCACTCCGAGCGTAGGGTAAGGGTGTAGGGGAGACATTTTATAACGTTATTTCACCTCATTATACCCGACCAGAGCCATTCTCAAGATGGGCCCTAACTAATTAGTATACATCATGATTATGTGCAGTAAATCCGAGCCCGGATTTGAGGTCGAATTAACCGCAGCCCCAAGAATCCGTTGCGTGCATTATTTTTATGGATGTTCCAGTGTTTAATTTCACTTGTTTTTTTTTGTTTGCTTTTCCATCTGCTTATTATTTCTACCGGATTATATGTGCATAAGACGAAGCGCCCTGAATTTATTGTAATTGGTTTTCAGAATTTACTGAAACTGCAAGGCAACAATAAAGAAACTTACTACAAACTACAAAGTGATCAATATCATGTATACTGGTGAATATATTATGCATAACTAATACCTAATATTTATGCAAATTTGGAGGATCTGCTGCATTATTCTAATGTACGTACAAGTCACGCAATGTATCATGTTTTTAGAAAAAAAAAAATATAATTTTCATTAATATTAATACTATATAAAAGTCTACTACATAACAGACATACAATTTTAAAAATAAACATGAAAACTTCAATAACTGTATATACAGTCAGACCTATAGTGCTTCTTCAATTAACGCTGATTTGATATAATATGGATATATGTTAAAGTGACTTTGTTTAACTCTGTTTCGTTTGTCATCTAGAAACGTACCATACGCGCTAACCAGGTAACTATTGACATTTTATGAATATTAATTATAAAAAAATATATGTGTCTACAGTTTTCGCTCACTTAACGTACACCCGATTAAAGTGCGTTCGATAATACATACTTGATTTTTTACAAAGCTAACGAATGTTCAAAGATATACAAGTTAATACAGTGATGTTATTCATATCAGTCTGTAGTTGCGCATGAAGTATACATTTTACATATTTTTATTCTGACATGACATTTTGATTAGGACATGATCTATTTTTAATGAAAAATAAATAATAACACTTGAAATATGTAGAAAGAAGCATACGGTAATTCTCAAAATATGATGATGTCGGGTCTTACAGTATAATGTACGTTCTTATGAACATTGAGTACGTTGGTATTATCGTTGAGTACGTATGTACGAATAATGCAATAGTTGTTTATTAAAAAATGGTAAGTGCATTCACTTCACTCACATTTAACGTAAGTCGATTTGTCTACACATTTTATAAGATATAAAATATGTACTATAAGAAGATATTTGATGGATTTGCAACTATCTTCAATTTACACTTCCTAATAATGTTTTTTTAAAGCGTTGAATCACAATTGAACTTAGACTTCTGCAAGGTTGTATATGTGTTAGCTATATCGACATCTGCAGAATTTTTTCCAAGTCAGTGATAAATATAAATTTTGAAGAAAATAAGTTGCTATAATAGATTAAGTATAAGATTACATGTGCAGTTTCTAATAAAATGTCTTCATTTTATATTTTGAAAACTGGAAACTAGACTGGAAAAGAATAACGTCATTTTAATAAGTGTCTCTTCCTGACGTAATTCTATGAATAAATGTTGAATGAAAGTTTGTTAAAATTTCATCTGTATCAGAGTATGCTCTTTATCCTTGATTATAGACCTCATGGTAATTTGTGCAAAGTTAATTTGCATAGTTACACCGAAATCTTTTAATCCGTTTGCGGCAGGTTTAATTCCCATTTTGATTTCAAAAGTCTGTCTTTTAATTTATTACTTTTTATTTCTTTGATATTTTTATTTTAACACAGCAGAGTGAAGTAACTAACATAAGTAGTGGTATTAATTAATAATATATATATATAAGAAATAATATATAATTCTACTGAACTGAATTTTAATAAATTAATGTATTTGATACATTCATTTTTTTGTAGAGGAGAGAAAACTTTACATAGGGACCACGGTACTGTGGGATTCTTACCGCACTAAAACCTCTCCCCTTCTTCATCGGCATCCAGGTCCGGATGTGTGTTCACTGTGACTTTCTTCCCTTTCTTTCTCCATCCTCCGCTCATAATTTTCATTAACGGAGAGCACCCCTGCTACGTAGCTTGTGATGATGTCCCACATCTCTTGGCACTTTAGCATCTCCCCGACGAACGTCTCTGGTTCTAGCACTTCTCCGAGATTTGATTCCGCCTCGTGCTTCATCGTTGCCCATCTGTAGCAACCAAAGAACGTGTGTTCTGGGCTATCGACTTTTTCGCAGTACCAGCACTTTTCGTCCTCTTTCCTTGCTATGAATTGCAGGTACTTGCTGAAATACCTGTACCCGGAAAGCGCTTGGCTCAGATGGGATGTGTTTCCAGGGTCCTATTTCTGGGTTTAAGCGTCTAGTCCAGGCTCCCTTCTCTGAGCTCACCCATTTTTCCTGCCACTTTTCCAGCGGTCTGGCCCTGGCAGTTTCCTTACTCACTCCTCTCTGCCCCTCGCATCTCTCTCTAGCTAGGAGTTCGATTGGTGGCATGCCAGCATTTATTTGAACTGCATCTCGGGAGATTGTTTTATAAGCGCTGCTGTTTCTAGAGCTCTTCTGTAGCTCTGCACCTTCATCGCTTCTTCCCATACTGGAGCAGCGTATAGCATTATAGACTACGCAACTACTCCGAGCAATTTATATAATTCTAAAACTTATAAAAAGTTTCTTTCTAGTTAGTCATAAACTGAGACATTATTTGTCCATGTGTATTATATCAATATTCTTATTTAAAAAAAATGTCTCTTTTTTTGTATTTTTTGATATTTAATATGAAATTTATTTATAAAATACTTCTTTACCAATTATATTGATATTGAAACATCCTTAAAGTCTTAAGGATGCTGGTACAACGTTAGCGTCAATGTGCGTTCTGGTATTATATAAACACGATACATCTCTAAAACATATACGTAAAGTGAAATTGCATATGTGGAATTGAATATTTCCATTGGGATTCTCTTAAGTTAAATGTAATGGGTTCCTATTTCGAGTCACAAGACGGGAATAGCTCTATTTCCCACACGTTTCTATTCTTTATTACAAGTATTTTGCACATATTCTTATACAACAGACGATATTATTTAAATGTATATATCTATTTATTTTGACATCTTTGCCTTCAGTAAACATATTAATTAAAATATGATAGAATAACAATTTATTTTCTTAACACTTTTTATAAATTGAATTATATACAATAATAATCGGCTTTGTAAAGTGCATATTAAAATATACTTTAATTTAACAAAATAAAAATAAATTCTAAATATTTTTTTAAATCTATGTAAAGGTACTTTTTGTACGGTTTTTTGTGATGGTTTTTACCTGATTAATCCGGTTTCAAACAATCCGCGATATTTGCGGAACCGATTACTCGCACTATCCGAGGTATTCCTGTATAGATATATAAAGTTAAAGTTTTTACTGTTAGATTTTATTGATATTAAATAATTAAATCCAAAAAATCAGCTTAATCGAAGACTACCATATTTTTTAGACCATAAAACTGTCGGAATTTTGATTCTGTCGAGATAATGGTTGTCGGGATTTTGATTGTCAAGATTTCGGTTGTCGGGATTTGCCATCGCTTCGGACCATAAGACATAATTCAATTTTAAGTCGATTTTTCTATAGATTATATAATTAGATGATATAATATATACGATCACAATATAAACTACTAATAGTAATATTATCTAATACAAGAGGAATAAACTATGCATTTTACTAACGAAAGTCAAATACTCAACAAACGTTATACATTGTTAGAATTCATAAATTATTCTCTAGTACGTTAGATATTATTTTAATCACAACAAATTAAATAATACTCATATCAACATAGGACTGTTTAGTACATCTTTATGAAATTACAATTACTATTTACTTTACAATTACAAAATAATGTGAATTGAATATTAAAGTGTGAAAGTTTGATTCTGTCTGACATAGAGGCCGATGTTCCGTGTTGATCCCACTGGAAATGCAATCAATTATTCAGATTACTAAACTCCACAAACTTCGAACACTATTTTTTTCTGCAAACAACGTTGCAATTTCGATGGGCAAGCAGCAAACACTCGCACGTCCCCAAATACATGCACTTCCAGAATCGTATTAATTATTCAGGATTGCATGACCCGCCAATGAAAACTTTAAGTAGAGCCAACAACCTTGTCAATCGTTTGAAAATTTAATGCTACTATTTTCGAACAGAAAATAAGATCATAAGTGGACTTTTAAAGAAATCTTTTATAATCCTCATGAAACATATAAACATTTATTTTGTTGCTACAAAATTTGAAATTATAAAAAGTTTTATCTTAGCCATTAATAAATCAGTTGTAATTATATATTATTTATTTATTATATATTACTTATTATATGATGATTAATTCTTAATAAACTTGATTAAACATGTATTTACATTTCTTCATTTTAATTATTATTTTTTACATTAAAAACGCCTATAAAAATATGGACTTAATTTCCTCTTGTTTTTATTGCTTTTAAATATGTTATTATATAAAGTGTTATAAGTGTACTAGGAGCTAAAAAAACGATTATTTTGTTTAATAAATTTAATAATTATTATTGCATAATTAAATTTAATAGTTTTATAATGTTAAAAACAACTCACGAATTAAGGCAAATACAACCAATATTTTTAAATCGATTCAAACTAAAACCCTTAAATATCTCGATATATGAAAAAATGGATTTATACCAATTGAAAATAAGGGCTCATATAGTATTTGAGTTTAAATATTTTATATCAAATTATATAGATATACATTTTTATATAATATATGTACTTGTAGATAAAATCAAGTACATTATAATTCGTTTAAATATCGTATTTTATGCTACATTTCCACCTAACATTTGAGCTGACTTTAATATATTTTTATTCCTGCCATTATCCTCAATAGCGTATACTTATATGAGTTTGAAATCTTTTCTCTGATTACTTCTAGATTGCATTTTAACGAGGTATTCCAGGCATTCGAGGCGTTCGTTACTAGGCATTTTTTGCTATATAAATGACATAATCAAATTTCATAGTTTCACACTCTTTCAATACTAACATAACAAGTTGAGATATGACTTCAATACTATACATAAGCCATATTTTAGGAATTTAAATTGCAAAAAATAGTTGTTTTTAATTTTAACACATTTATATTATTTTATAATATAAATTAATCTACTTATATATTGTTCAAGGAGTTGAAAAAATATTAAAAATAGGAATATTTGATAAGTTTAAAAAATGATAATATATTTTTAATTATTATTTTATTTGAAAATTACTGGTTGTATCACTGTAAGTAAGTATTTTTAT